TATATATACTAATATATATCATAATTTAATAGTTTAAAACACAAAACATTTACAAATTTTTCTTACGCATACTGTGGCTTATATAATTTTAAATAACAAAACAAATACGTTGAAATATACATACTTCGTTTCAATTTGAACAAAAAGTAAACAAGGAAGTCACTGATCCGACCATAGACGGTTTATTGATGGCCAGTTGTAATGCCAACTACAAATCGATTAATTAATTGAATGAATCTATTTGTTCAATCGAGTCATACTAGCGGTTTTCCTTCATAACCTATATAAGCATATTTAAAATTTCTGGAATCTTAATTTTAAATCCTCTTTCAAATCCTTACACTTAAATACTAGTTCGATTGCGATTGAAATATTCGATTTACTAATCGATTACTAAAATTTTATTATTTAATTGAATAAACCGAATGTATTTTTTCGTACAGCACTATGCAACCATAGAAAAGTCATAGTTGTATAGTTGAAAAATAACCTCACTTTTGGACTACCATTTTTTAAATACGATTGTACGATGCTATTCAAAAGAAAATTGTTGGGAAAAGTAATGAGATAGCAAGTCGAAGACTTCGACATATACGTGAAGTGGTTACTCATTCGATTTATTGAGTGATTGTTTTAGAATTTAAAGCAAACAGTTTTGTTTACTTTTTGTTCAAAATGGATTGGAACAGACTTTAAATAAATTTGTAATGATTTTATTCATTATTCGTATGTCTAGTTTAGTTTATATTGGCAACTTTGTTCATGATATAATTTAAGAGTTACGTTGCTTTATAATACAAATTAGGTACAATGTAATAGCACAGATAATGTCAAAAATGACATTAACAAAGACAGAAGTTTAGATATATATTTTCAAAGTTGTTCAGCTTTTGTAAAATGTTGCTATCTGAAAATTTTGCAATCTTAAAGTGGTGTAAACAACAGTATATTTTGGAGCCGATAATTTTGTAATAATTTTGTTATATTGTATTGATATGTGATTGCATTTGTTTGATGACTCATGACATAGTCGCTGCCAATCATGTAATTTTAGTTAGTCTTTTTATTTTCTTTTTAACTTAAAGTGTGCCACTATGTAGACTATATGATAGAGCTGTGCACAGCTGTTATAGGAGTGCAAATTTACTTTCTATTATATATTATCATATCTAATATTATCAATATTTATATTAATTTGTATTCTGTAGCTGTGCCAAGAAATAAATAAATAAATAATATAGTACTAATAATAGGTAGCTATACTAAGTTGTTGAGTTTTAACCAAATACGCTATGGCGGGCTTCATAATTATAGTTTCGTATGGACAGAGGAAGGTTCCGTTCGGTCAAACTAACTACACGTGACTATAGCGGTAAAATTTGTCTAAAAACGAATAATACTATTATGTTGCTAATTCTAAATGCGCCTTAAAATTTTTCACTTTAAGTTTTCTGAAAAAGATTTGATTTTATTTCAGTCTGTCTTTTTTGAAGACGGGACGAAATGACTTTGCGGGGTTGCCAGTTTTCATAAATTTTTAAAATGTTGTCGACTGTTTTATCTATAGATTGTGAAAGAAAATTTTGCTATCTAACTATCTAATAATTAATCATTGCGTTATTGCTTTCTTCATTCTTATTTTAACAGTTCCCGTACAAGTATCGAAATTATTATTCACGCACATTTTAATAACAACAAGCGGATTTGATTATTTATATTGAATTAAAATATGTCTCCTCTTTATATTTTTAACAGACATCGTTCTAAATGCAATGTATGAACTAACAAAAATTTACTTTTCAGGTGAACCTGTGCGCAGCAGTTCAACGAATAATGGGCAGATGATGATTCAAATGAAATCGACGATCAATTAGGCTATGGTCGATAGAATACTTATCGAATCGCTAGCTGCTTGCAAGCGGGCAACACTTTTGCGTAATGAACTGCCATTTTATTCCATCTTCAAAATAGACAGACTATAGCAATTTAGAAAATAACGGTAACGTTGGTCAAAAAACTTAATTGTGTCACTAATTCGGATATAGTGTAACTACGAAACCAGATATATTATTTTTTTCGAAATATTTCGAATTGTACATTTCTAAATTGTTTCTGATCTGGAGTACTGTCGTGATCCTGAGTGAATTTCATTACTCTGGCGCTCAAAGCACGGGAAATTCCCTAGTTTGTCCAGGTGATTGATGTGGTTATCTGGCACATTATTATTATTATGTATTATTTAAATTAATAATTTAAAAATTAGTCTTTGTTAAAGCGAAACCAAATTAAAGCATGCAAAGATATATTAAGGCAGTCAAATTGTACATCTAGCGAATAAATACAGAGTTTTCTCATCACTCGAGAAAGTATAAAAAAAACAGTTTTCGTTCTCGTGTGAGTACAAGTCAATTAGAGAATAAATTTTTAAATATTCATTTATGTTCCTTGAAGTTTATAGTACTTAATTGATTTGAAGCTCCTTTTTACGTACTCGAAAATTATACAAAAACCTACTTAACAAAATTAGAGCCCAGTCGATTTTTCTACCTAATTACCTGCTTTGTTGAATGAAAATTGACATATTTGTTGAGACTAGGCATTTTCAAACATTTAACGCACGCGTCCTTTGTTTTGGAAATAGTAATATGATAAGCAAGCACTATTTATTTCAAATTATTTTAAATTAATAATTTACATCGTTATCGCCATTATTTATTATTATTTAAGCTTATAACTAAAATGGCATCCAATACAAATTTTCTTGACTGATTTTTTCATGATATCAAGCAGGGATGTCGATGATATCAAGTAACGAGATTAATAAGTTGTGCTTCTGGTGGTAACCTATACATAACGTTGTAGTGCTAATCAGAGCTTTAAATTGATCTGGAAGGCACTGTCTGTCGAACTCCAATGGGAATGTAATTTTACCAGACTGTTCGTAGACAATAGTTTATAACGTACATATATTTCACAAATTCATATAATAGTTTCCAAGTTCATTTATTCTTTCCGAATTCATATATAGTTCCCAAATTCATTTATTATTTCCTATAATTCATATTTAGTTCCTAAGTTTATTTATTGTTTCCGAATTTATATTTAGTTTTTAAGTTCATTTATTTATTTCTGAATTCATATATAGATCCCAAGTTCATTTATTGTCGCCAAATTCAATTATTGCTCCCAAGTTCATGTATTTTTATACTTTGTTAACAATTTCGTATCCGGAATTAATCTGGGCCCTTGTATCCATCATAATTTCTTCAAATAACTTCTACTGTTGCTAATTACTTAAATAGATATTTACAAAAAATGAGTTTATTCTAAATGTTGCTTCTTATTTATAGCTATATTATAGTTAAATTAATTAAATTTTAAGTTAATAAAATTATGGAATATATTTTAAATTTTTCCAAACTGCAAGTATTGAGTGGAAAATATTCACATATTATTGTAGGTTTTGTTTTAATTCGGCGTTACATAATTATTGTATAATTTTCTTTTTAACTACGACTCCATAGCTATGTTCAATTAGCTAGTTGAGTTATAAGAAAATTTCAACTCTATGCCTTTATTTTTTTTTAAATTTCAAAATTGCCCCAGTGTTATTTTTTTTAACATACCACTGTACGTGGTAGGAAACATTGAATTATAGTCACAACTTATTCTATAACAAAACGTCCATTAGTTAGCCTAATAAGAATTTTTTTCGCTACAGAGTTAATGACCTTTTTATAAATGTTCAACTTTATTAACTGTTTATTAAACTACATACGTTTACCATTAATTGTAATTATGGAAATTTGAGCCTATTTTTCACAGAACAATAAATATAATAGAAGTGCTTACTTTGCGCAGCATGCATCCCAACAGTACGCAAAGTTCGACATACTTGAGCTCAATCCGCCATTTCTGCTTTGTACGTTATAGTTGTGTAAATTATCTCAGGTAAAAGCTTAAAAATCGCAGAAAAAGTATTATTTTGCTACTTTGGAGTGCACAAATGAAAGTCGCACCGGTAATATTGTCTATGTTATATTTAATTTTAATGAATTTTCAATTTTCTGTTGACAGCACATTGATTGAAACTTCAATATAAAGTCAAAACGTCATAACTTACAACAATAGGTGTTGAACTTTCAACAATATGCCAACAGGATAAAGTTTAAATTATATTAACCTGTCAGTTCTTTTTAAAATAGAAACTACGACCAATCATCATCAAGACGTTTCAAAATAAGAATGTGCGAGTTTTGGCGACAGCTGTTCTGGTAGTAATTGAGCCTTATAGCGCTTCCATTGGTTTTTTTTTTCTTCCATGGGCAGGGCCATTGGATCAATCTACATTGCCGCATAAAACGAATTAGTAACGAATAATATTATTACGTTGATAACAATTGTTAACAACATTACGTTGTTGACACTTCTCTATGGAGAAGCTATAGGTGGTGACTACACAAAAAGGACTTGGAAATCGCACTTTTAAGGCTGTAGTCATTGACTTACAAATACATGGACGACGGGTCTAATACAAAAACCAGGAAAAAATGTCCCAAGTCAACCTATTTAAACGTAGTGACATGTAAAGGAATATGAAAAAGCTAAAACGTTGAATTTAAATTGTAATGTCATCGCAGTACTGTCTAATTTTGCTTGCTTCGCTGTCAGTCGAATAAACGAAGACTAAAGCGTGAATGACGCTCTGTGTACGATTTTAACGCCCTATAAGTTTGGACACTTTTTAGCGCGGACCCGATGTCCATATAATTGTAAGTCAATGGCTGTAGTTGATTTCTTTAGGATATGTGTAGCGAAATGGGGTACCGCGTACTATATTCTTATATTTAATTTTATTGCAAACTCCGGATTAAAGAGACTATAAACTCTATTCTGTTCATAGTGCTGTGTGTGCACGGTCAGCCTCTGCTTTACTGATGTCAATCGCTTTGCTTGAAAGACTATCTTAGACTTAGCTGCGTAACTTGAGTAATTCTTAATTTTTTTTTCTGTCAGACATTGTAACCTGTAGGTACCAGCTATATGTGGCGTCTATTAGATAGGCTCATGCGTTTACTACGATGGTTCTAGAAGAGAGTAGAGTTGAATCTGGCGGAGCGGCGAATCACGTGTGGCGTTAATGACACGTAACCGCTCTCTACCACGCGAACAACGCGCACGTTGATCTGGAAGAAATAATCAATTAAATCAAAAATGGGATGGATTGCATTCGATAGGCTGGATCATATCTTAAAATCGGTTGATATTCCACAGTGTTAGAAAACCCGCTTATTAACCCAATATATCTTGCCCACTATGACTTCCGAGACGTGGACGCTCATACAGAAGACTGTGTATAGAATGAGAGTCGCACAAATAGCCATAGAGCGAGTCATGCTTAGCATCAAACTTCGAGTTCCGCGTTCTAAAATCCGAAATCCGTAGACGAACTAAGACCAAGGGCGTAGGAGATAGGACAACGAGTTTAAAACGGAGCTGACCGGGACATGTTGCGAGACATGATGAACACAGATGGAGTAAGGCGCTAACCGAATTGTGGCCAAGATATGGATAATATATTCAAACGTTCTGTAGCGAGTTGTGTGGACGACATTGTCAAAGTTGCGGATAGTAGATGGGTGAGACTAGCACAGGATTGTGGTGGGTGTCATTAACTACGAGAGGCCCATACCCAGCAGTGGGTGAAGTAGGGCTGTGGATGATGAAATAAAAAATAATGTACAGGCAACAGACCTTTCCCTTAGTTCTTAATAATATATAATAATAAATATATAGTCCCACTATACTATATAGCCTAACACTATACAGGCTATGAACAGGCGTGTCACTTACCACCAGGAGCACGATTTGTTCGTCCCGTCACCTGATATCATAAGAAAACTTTTTTTTTTTTTTCAAATAACAAGACGAGCAAATCGTGTGTCTGCGCCTGTCCATAACAGTTACAGTGCCACTTAGACCTTCAAATCACAAAAATCACAGTGGCGCTACCACAGCGCCCGTCACCCTAATTCATATCAAGTTGACAAGTCCCATGTACCTGCAATTTCACTTGCACCCTTACCCTTCAAAATTAAAACTCCCATGGAGCTCTACTGCTACAAAAACTATTGGGCTATAGTTCCCACGCGGGTCTAATGCGGATACGAAACTTCACACATATCGTTAAATGTCAATATGCGGTCTTCTTTGTAAATTAATTTACATCGGTGTGTTGCTCACATTTCGCTATTTGACTAATTGTGTGAACATAAATTTAAAGTTTTAAATTATTCACATTGATTCGGTAAGTAATGTTGTGGTTTTTGATTAATTTGTGTATTTTAAATTGCTCAAAATGTTTTTCTTCACCGGAAAGTTCATCGTAAATTTCAAATTAAACTTCGCACATAAATTCCGAAAATATCAAAGGTACAAGCCCAGATTTGAGCCCACGACTCTCAGCTTTAATAGGTTATCACGACACATTGTAGTTTGGGCTTTCTTCTTGTAAGTGGCATAGAGCTAATTAAATCTTAAGTGTCATGGCGCAAACAACGTAATTCACCGTGCAAAATCAGGATTTTTCCCTGTCCTCCGATCGGAAATCCGATATGTAGGAGAAGTGGGAATATTACTTCCCATGTCTCTGATTCATAGTTATTTACATCTTTTACATTTTCTTCCTTATTTTTTTATTATTCAGACTGAAGTTTGAGAATACAGACCTCGTGCTTCGAGACGGTTCTTTTGAAGTACTTGTGGAAGCGCGTGGAAAGTGCCCACACGGCACCGTTATCACGCTCGGCCCACCGAACTTCGGCGCAGAACTGCAGCTTCTCCGGATCTTGTGCTAGTACTCTGCAAAATTAGATACAAATATCCATATAAAATACAAAAAAAACTGCAAGTGCAGAAAAATAAAATTCATCAGGTCTGGCTGGTTCGTTCCCTAGCTCAATGGGGAGAGCGTCAAGCACGGTATGCTGAAGGTGCTGGTTAGAATCCAGCCGGATCGAATGAATTTTTGTTAGAGTTCGATCTTTATATTAATAATTATAACAAACTAGTCAAGTAATTTCACAAAATAACAATTGAATATTATGGCAATAAAACATCGTGATATTCAATAAGCTTAATATTACAAATATCCATAATAGTTTTTTTTATTTGAAATAGAACGATAACACAATGAGGTAACGATTATAGCGAATATTTCGTTTTTGGATTATCCTATTAATCGAGAGATTACCTCACGATAATAATAAAAAATTAAAATATTTTACAATATTTTTACTCTTTATTTATTTAGAGCCTTAGGTCGTTACTGAACATGTCAGCCCCGTTAGAAAAACAATACCTCAAGAAAACACTTAATAAAATCCAGACAGATAAATCAAAATACTACCTAACCAAACATGTGTACAAAATCTCAGCAGCGCTACATGTTGGGTCCGACGAAACAGATTGAAACCACCCGACATTAAATGTACGGAAACCAGCCTGTGCTAATAAAAGCGCCCTGATAAGTTTCGTCCGCATACACTCCACGAGCAAATGATGTACAACCTCAGGAATCCCACACACTTCGCAATTCGGTGAATTCACCCTTCGCATCAAACACTAAAATTTGTTTAATGGAACGTGTCCGGATAATTTTGTTTTTCTAGTTTTTATCCGTTTTTAGTTACCTTCAAGTTGGATTTTGGAACTGTGAATTTCATTGTAACTTTAAATATAACAGGTTTTTTTAAGCTTCTTTTTTTTCTAAAAAAACTTGTAGCCGTGTACGTTGAAAACTGCATGAAATGAAAATACCAAATATTGTAGATGTCAAATTGACTTTTAAAATCACGCGGCATTTTCCGCTCGCGGTGTACAAAGACTGAAAAGTTTTTGTGTTTCAGTTTCTTTTTATACCCGTTGACGCTGCTAATTATTGGTAAATGAAATATGGTATCTCCAAGTGGTAGATATTGTTTATTTCATTAACTCGAGACATTCTCAAACATAAAACAATTCCCAGTACTGCACGGGAGTTTTTTAGACACATACTATACAGGATATTTTTTTAATTTGTAAATAGTCACCGAATATATGTATAACCAGAAATTGTGACGAAATAATCCATCCCTGGCAACTCATCAGGCAAATGGGCCTTATATCACTTTTAAATATCAAATCTCGTTTGCGCTGAAATCACAAATTAGAAAGTTGAAATAGTACATAACCAACAACTAACCTGTGTTGTACGTGTCCGTATATTCCAAATATATTCTGTATTTATTGTAATAAAGATAATCTCTCTAACAATGGGGGGTTGTTCCATTCGGTGGTGTGGGGAAAAGAGCAAAACATCTAATTAAAATTAATAAAAAATAAAAAAAAAACTGCCTCCGTGGCCGAACGGTTACCATGCCGGACTGCCACGCAGAGGTCCCAGGTTCGATTCCCGGGCCGGGAGAAATAGTTGTATGGCCTACAATTATTTCTCTCGTGAGTTTGGGTGTAATTTGTGGTTGTCTGTGTGTGTGTCCATGGCACCCGCGACACAGGGTTTCCCTAGTGCGGGGCTATGTTGAGTGTGTGCGTTATTTATATTTATTTATAATTATAAAACAAACGTAATCACATTTAATCGGTAATGATCGGTAATTAAATATTAAATGTGTAATTTTTAAATTGTCGTCTGTTATGGCAAAGCCATAAAGCTCAAGTGAAACTGGTCGATTTGAAGTGAAACGAATTGAATTTCGAATTCAAGCTGGCCAATCGGAGCGCAGTTGTCACCGTAATGAATTTGGCAGATTAATTTTCAAACAAATAAAATGACATTTCTTCTCTATTTCAGTTATATATTCGATGTAAATAGTTATACCTAAATAATAATGTAACGTGTAATTATCTAATTTCTTTTTTAATTAAATTCCTGTACTTAGTTGTACATAATAGTCATGAAGGTATAAAGTGTAGTACTTGTTTACCTTCATGTTTATTGTTTTTGTTAAATTTAAAACTGTGTACATACTTTAAGTAATTCATGACAGATTTGTTTTTTTCTCATTTAAAATACCTTACCAGTAAATATCTTACCAGTCAGTGACAAAAGGATTTTCGCTATTAAGAGTAATTCAATTCAAAGACACCCAAAGGTCACTTTGAACGGCCTTCTGAGCGCAATTTCCTCAGAGAGTTTTTGTTCTAAATCGTCATTTTAGTCAAATTTAGGTAATTTACTAAATTTAATTATTACGCACACTCATTAATCAATTAAACCTATTTTGACCAATACATTCTTATTTTAATATCCGTAAAAGCCTTGAGAAAGGTATTCAAAGTTACGCAACTTGTCTGTATTTTTGTATTATACACGATGCAAATTTGGGACGGGTCAGCAAGTACCTTAACGGTCACAGCTATAGTAAAACAATCTTAGTAGATTGTCTATAAATTTTAAAGATGTATGGTCATTGACTTACAATTATATGGACGTCGGGTCCGCGCTAAAAAGTGTCCGAACTTATAGGGCGTTAAAATCGTATACAGAGCGTCATCCACGCTCTAGTCTTCGTTTGTTCGACTGACAGCGAAGCAAGCAAAATTAGACAGTACTGCGATAACATTACAATTTCAATTCAACGTTTTAGATTTGTCATATTCCTTCACATGTCACTACGTTTAAATAGGTTGACTTGGGACATTTTTTTCGTGGTTTTTGTATTAGACCCGTCGTCCATTTATTTGTAAGTCAATGTGTATGGTAAAGTTTTTTGCGATTTCTGACATTCTCTAGGATTCTTATCTCATTTGATCCCACATAGATTTTTAATCCTTACCCAAAATAGGATCGAATGACATAAAATAAGACTTTCGTTAATCTTGCTGATTATTCCAAAATCTGTTAAAGTCAATAGTAACAATCTTGAAAATTCGTGGAGTATAGTAGGATCATTTTCCTGTAGCTACGACGGTTAAAGCCCTTGATGACCTGTTGTGAAATTTCCATCCTGTATCTATACTATTTTAGCGCGCGATTACCCTAATATTTATTAATGGACGTAATATTATAAATAAACTCAAAATAAAACTCACTTGTGAGTGTTAGTGATAGGGTTCCAAGCAGCAATAGCTGTCTCAGCAATCGGGCTGAAGATGATGGTGTCGTCACGCGGGTCTACTGCAATACCCAGTCCCTGTGAGGACTTGCGCCCCACGAGATTAACCGGCAGGTCGGTGCCCTCTGCAGGTGGCCCGGCCGCAAGCACCGCTGTTGATACGCTGAATACTCTAAAAGAATCGATAGGTTGCGTTAGTTTTTTTTTATCTAAATATAGTTTTATTAGAATACACAAACCGGTTGAGAGAACGACGGGCCAGCGAACCAATGTACTCCGAAAATGGACATAACATCTCCGGCAACAGCCAAGCGTATTCTTTTCGTAAAATATCAAGTGCCGGGACGAAGAAGTCGCGGACATCTGTAAACTGCCCATAACAGATGCAGTGCCACTCAGACCTTTAAACCGCAGAAATCTGAGGGGCACTGCCCCTGGACCAGTCACCCTGAAACAAAGTTGATAAGTCCCTTGTGCTTGTAGTTTCATCCCGCACTCATAAAACGCACGGTTTATAAGTAATACTCGACCAAATTAGAATCTCAGTACAGAATACTAAAAAAACCGACCTCAAAAGTCATTCATTCAGGTCAGGAATATTTTCTTCAAATTTACCACCACTAGTGACGTACCCTCTTTCCAACAAAAAAATAATTATCAAAATCAGTTTACAAATTATTGAGTAATCGCGTAACGCACATACAAAAAACATACATTCGGATTGAGAACCTCCTCCTTTTTTTGAAGTTAGTTAAAAATTGGAACGTAGTGTACATTATTACTTGGCATTAAACGTAGGTAAGGCGTACTATTGCCACTAAAAAAAGTAAAATAACGTGGGACATAAGTCTTAATTCTTCAAT